TGATTCTTCCACAGCGAAATCCGTACTCCATTCATAGTTTTGTTGTCTAGATTACGTTCATGCATCTTAGCGGTTTGGTTTTTTCTCTCTTTTTTTTCTTTATCTTCTTTCTTTTCTTCTTTCTTTTTATGCCTCTCCTCACTTTAACATTCGGGTCAACCTTTTATATCCTTTTATCACTATCGCTATCTTTCACCCTTTCCCAACGCATGGTTTTTACTTCTTTTCTTTTCTTTTATATTCTTTTCTTTTCTTCTCTCTTTTTCTATCTTTTTTCTTTCCTTTCCCTTCCTTTTTTTTCACGATTATATATGCGAATTCTATATTCTTTTCATTTTGATGGTAGTTTAAGTCTTCAGCAGTGTGCTTGCTTAATCCTTCTGGTCCATGAACCTTTAAGCATATTCAAGACTGTCTTCAATTTAATGCCATGTTCGCTCTCCCCTTTCTCCTCCTCATCCTTACTCTTCTACTGCCGATCGTCCATTTGATGTTAGTTCCCTGCAAGCAACAACTTTCCCTGCTCTCCCCCAAACCCCTCTTTCACTCAAACCAAATATATCAAATGATTTCCAAAAAGAAGAAGAAGAAGTTGGGGGAAGAAAAAAGTCACACACTGTTTTCCGTCCACCGCCGTATTACTTGCTTACTTTTAACTGTCTCCTTTTTGCCGTTGCCATAGTCTATTCGCAAAAACACTAATCATATTGTTCACCGACCATCCTCATCCACACCTAGTGGCTAAGAACTGCTACATACATCCTTTTAAAACCTTACCTTATATTCGTTCAACGTTCAACGTTCCACCTCTGTCCTGTTCCAGTTTCCCTGCTGTTGGCTTTTAATGTCTTCCATTTATCTGATGTGCTTGATAAAACTGTGCATTCTTGTATGGCCTTTTTCAAAACGCCGCAATGTTTTCGGTAACTATCTTGTCACTATCTCAGGTTCCAAAGTTCTTCGACTTTTACTTTTCTGTATAAGCAGCGCAGAAAAAGCAGCCAAAGAATTTTTTGGTTCTGTGAATATCATATTTCTTCTTTGCTTCTTGCCCTTCTTTTTGAGTTTTATCAGTTTTTATTTTTTTTTTTTTGGACGTTATCTTGACATCCCAGGGAATTGGTTTTTTTTTTTTTTTTTTTTTTTTTTTTTTTTTTTTTCTTTTTTTT